CCTCACAGCAACACCCTCAATATCTCTCTTTATACTTAATACGTGAGACTCCAAAAGGCCTCTCTAACACAGTTTATCATACCACTTCCTTCCTTCTCCTTCCTTTATCCTTCCCTCCTTCACTCCCTCCTTCCTTCTCTCTCTCCCCCATTTTCTCTCTCTCTTCCTCCTTCCTCCTCCCCCCCTCCCCCCTCCCCTTAAGGCTGCACCTGGACCAACCATCTTGTGTACAGTAAATGGGGGCGGGTTGGATGAAATGTAATCGTATTAAAGTGTCAATGGCCTTTTAAACCAATTTATTCCATTACCTTCATGTTCCAAGGCATTAAGTTAACTTTTTCTAAATGTATTGTCGCGTCAAAGAGGTTTTAGGTGGAGGGAAATTCGCTTTACTTAAGAACCCTTGAGAATTCCGGATATACAGTAAGCGACTTGAACCGGACTTTGCCAGCTGAATTAAGTGAGCTTCTTCCTTGTCCTTGAAATCACCATCTGTTGCTTGGCCAGTAGTTGTCCATCTGTTGCTGCCTCAATAATTCACCATCTGTTGCTAGTTCAATAGTTCACCATCTGTTGCTAGTTCAATAGTTCACCATCTGTTGCTTGGCCAGTAGTTCACCATCTGTTGCTTGGCCAGTAGTTCACCATCTGTTGCTAGTTCAATAGTTCATCATCTGTTGCGAGTTCAATAGTTCACCATATGTTGCTAGCCCAATAGTTCACCATCTGTTGCTAGTTCAATAGTTCACCGTCTGTTGCTTGACCAGTAGTTCACCATCTGTTGCTTGGCCAGTAGTTCACCATCTGTTGCTAGTTCAATAGTTCATCATCTGTTGCTAGTTCAATAGTTCACCATATGTTGCTAGCCCAATAGTTCACCATCTGTTGCTAGTTCAATAGTTCAATAGTTCACCATATGTTGCTAGCCCAATAGTTCACCATCTGTTGCTAGTTCAATAGTTCACCATCTGTTGCTAGCTCAATAGTTCACCGTCTGTTGCTTGACCAGTAGTTCACCATCTGTTGCTTGGCCAGTAGTTCACCATCTGTTGCTAGTTCAATAGTTCACCATCTGTTGCTAGTTCAATAGTTCACCATCTGTTGCTTGGCCAGTAGTTCACCATCTGTTGCTTGGCCAGTAGTTCACCATCTGTTGCTAGTTCAATAGTTCATCATCTGTTGCTAGTTCAATAGTTCACCATATGTTGCTAGCCCAATAGTTCACTATCTGATGCTGGTTCAATAGTTCACTATCTGTTGCTTGGCCAATAGTTCACCATCTGTTGCTGGTTCAATATTTCACTGTCTGTTGCTGGTTCAATAGTTCACTATCTGTTGCTAGGCCAGTAGTTCACCATCTGTTACTGTTCAATAGTTCACTATCTGTTGCTAGCTCAATAGTTCACTATCTGTTGCTAGGCCAGTAGTTCACCATGTTACTGTTCAATAGTTCACTATCTGTTGCTAGGCCAGTAGTTCACCATCTGTTTCTTTTCAATACTTCACCATCTGTTACTGTTCAATAGTTCACATGTTTGTTTTAAATTTTCTTCATCCTCGTTTCAGTTCATCGTCATGTTCAAAGCTCTCTCTGTTTATTATACATCAACTATTATTCTTTTTCTTCATAATTCTTCTTTGTTTGTTTGGTCTTTGTATTTAATTTCTTGTTTAGCTTTGTGTTGTTGTTTCTTATTTCTACAATGTTTATATTTTCTTTTTCGAGAGACAGACAGACAGACACAGACAGACAGACAGACAGACAGACAGACAGACAGACAAGAAGTGACACAGACAGACAGACAGACAGACTATGAAACTATTAAAAGATCTTTATAATTTTTTCATCATAATTCCAGAACAAATCTACAACAATTTTTTCTAAGATTCTCAGATTTTTTTTGGGGTTAAATTCCTCCTTATTAACGAGAAGAGATTTTGTTCTTTCAGTAGAGTCTCTGTGTACTTCTGTGTGTGTTATGGTGATAGTGATGATGTTGATTTTTGGATAGTGATTGTGGTGGAGGTGATTATAGTGTTAGTAATGATGGTGATGGTGATGATGATGATATTGAAAATGATGATGATAATGGTGATTTTTTAGGGGGAAGGTTGAAATCACACACAAACAAGTCATTTACAAAAGTATGTATTCATGGTTCAGCAAAATATAAAAGTCATTACAAAATATTTATCATATATAAGGCCACATTGTCTCGTCCATAAACAACAATGTAAATATACATTTTTTTTTTTACGCATTTTCTTAACACATTAAAACAAATGACGAATAACATACAAAAACCTTCGAGTGGTTGACATTCATTTACTGTGAGTTTATGCATCTATACATTGAGTTAAGTCATCTATACATCAAGTTATTGGGAGTTATATCTATACATTCAGGGAGTTAACTCGTCTATACATTCAGAGTTAAATCGTCTATACATTTAGTTTCTTCATCTATATATTAATTTATCAGAATAGAACATAGAAAACCATGGAGAATCGAATTGGGAAGACGATAAATGCCATAAAAATCACGCCAATACAACCCTGAATTAACTAAGATAGCTTTAGGTTGTCTACTTATCAGTGTTATATAAAAAATAATGCATTCTAAAAGGTGTTTGTCTCTTCACTACGTTTTTTCCCTTTAGTAGAACTTTCATCATCATTCACCTCCTTCATTCTCTCTCACTTCCCATCCACACATAAATTACAACTTTTTAAACGTAGGTAATACACCCAATTCTTATCATACATCTGATTTATGTATTACTGTTCTTTCTTTTCTTTTTTCGGTGTATACAAAGCAACGTTATCTTAAATACAGGCCATACAATAGCATGCATGTAACTTAACATAATACAACAACAAAAAAGTTCCCATAGTTTTGAGAACGTAAAATATAAGGTAAGAATTTGAACCTATTAACGAAAGCTGCTGTAATATAACTTCACCTGACCTAAAACTACGATTATTTAAACGATGATAAATGAATGTCATCTTTAGTATGAATGTATGATAATGACTATAAGTATGGTCCTAGTGTGTGTGTGTGTGAGTATGATGAGTGCTATGACCTACTCACCCAATATACAGATATGGGAGTACATCAGCTGATAATGCTCGTCAAATAATGTGTTTACGTCTTGTATGGTCAAAATACTTCTCCGAAACGGAATCTAATTTGATGTTTTTAAGTTTAAGATGTAAGAATGTTTATTTTAAGCCATTGTCCAAAGTTAACTCAAACATTATAAAAAAAAAACATTCGAGTTAAAAATAAGACAAAATTAGCTACATTATATACGATACTTGTCAATAAAACGAAATTAAGGTGTAGAATGTTTTAAAAGGTTCTATATATAGTACCGTAATTTCACCTTATTTGTGTAAAGTGAACGTATCTAGTTAAGGTCAGAGTTTCAGTATAACTCTATGTTGCTTTTATGTGTTATAGTTAGTTAATTAGTAATATACTTTCTTGTGTCTTCACTACACGAAGAACATTTCATTACTAGAATTTTTAACACTCGGCGTAAGATGGTGCCTCTGTCTTTACGGAGTTGTGACGATGCGGTGTTATGTGTTAGTAAAAGTGCACAGTATTAGTACATTAAGATGACTTATGTTACATGTACAAGCACTTTATACTTAAAACACGTGATAGTGTGTTGTTCATTTTGATGTTATTTTTGTTCATTTTCATGTTGTTGTTTTTATTTTTTATTTTTTTTTTTTCGTTTTCTTGTTTATTTTCTTGTTGTTCATTTTGTTGTTGTATGTTGGTGTAGGTGTTTAGTTTCTACGACTTATAAATTCTACAACTTTAAATCAATAATGTTGTGAGAGTTACTATAAGATCACCTACACTAAGAAGGACCAATATTACTTGTATCTTTGTTGCTGAAGCCTCGTAATAGAATTTAGTAATAACAATGACGATAACAGTAATAATTAATAATAACTTAGGACAAATTCTGCTAATTAAATTCTGGCGAAGTTATAAAGGTAAATTCTTGGTTTGCCTAATAAAGCGTTGATATATTTAACAAGTTTATACAACATTTACGGTATATATGTTAAGCGAGGCTACCTTCTTGATATACAGAGTGGTGCATAAAGTCGATTTACCGAGGACTAGATCTTCACTGTTTGTCCAGTTAAGTGATTTTTGCCCCACTCTATATATAATTGAAGTCTAGACACACGTACACACACAGACGCGCTCACACCACACACGCGCTCACACCACACACGCGCTCACACCACACACGCGCTCACACACACACGCGCTCACACACACACACGCGCTCACACGCGCTCACACACACGCACACACACACACACACACACTCACACACACACACACACTCACACACACACACACAACACACACGCGCTCACACACACACGCGCCACACACACACACACACACACACACACACACACACATGTACACAACAGGATGAAACAATATGCTGGTGGAATGGACAAAATGACGGGAGGTGTGAGTGTGTATAGGGGAGAGAGTCATGTAGCACCTTACCTGTCTCCCCTAGACCATACTACACCTTGGAAGAATATATATAGGCGTATATGATTGTATTAAATGTCATATGGTATTTCTTCTACTCCGTCTTAGTACCAGGATGGAAATTGTCTCTTATATACTGTACATATATTTTCATTAAGGTCTTGTGAGTTAGAGTGTACCGTGGAAGGTATATCTCATACACGGTACACGTCTGCTTTAAAGCCATTAGAGATTATAGTGTACCGTTGAGTATCTTACAAGGGTACACGTCTCCCGTAGCTCCCCTCCCCTGTGAGTGAGAGCGTACCATTGAGCGAGTCCATCATACGAGGTACAAGTCATCACTATGCTATGTTTTCTTTGGTGAGCGGTTTCTCCACCAGGGGCTTCGTGGGAGCAAAGAACTTCTCAATCTCCTCGAGTGTCTTGCCTCGTGTCTCCGGCAGGAATATTCCGAGAGCCACGCCGGAGAGACTGAATAAGGCGTATGTCCAGAAGACGAGGTACACGTCTATTCTACTCGTCAGCATCGGGTACGTGAGGCCGATGATGAAGGCGAACAAGGAGTAGGCTGTGACCGCCACACCGTTCCCTATAGTTCGCACCGCCAAGGGGATGAGCTCCAGACAGCAGCCAGGGATGGGCCGTAACCCAGCTCGTTGAAGAACACATACACCAGCAGCGACGCCAGCGGCAGCCACCCCAGTCCCTGCAGGAGGGGAGGAGAGGAATACGTGAGCTGTAGCCTAATGAAAACACTTATTCGTATCAGTTGACCCATATAAACAGTGGTGGAGGGGTGGAAGTTCCTGGGGGGACACACAATCATCACGTTGTTCTTATCACTCCAACACCTGCTCAGTTTGTAAGGTAAAGTAGTTAATTAAGTACCTATGGTGGTTGGACCCTGACCCCTCCAGCTATCATAGTGGTCTGTATCTCCTATGCATGTAAACTTATTCAAGCTATCCTCAGAGTGTCATTTCAGGTGTTCAGAGGTGACACTGATGCGATATTGTTTTTGACGTTCATGAATGTACAGAGAACGTTGGTCGTGTGTCTATTTGTGTACATAAAGTATAAAACTTCACGTGAGTTGGAAAGATGTTTATCTCCTCTGAACTATTATACTATATACCAAAAACCACACACACACACACACACACACACACACACACACACACACACACACACACACACACACAGACCAGCACTTCCTGGTAGTTGACCTTTCTCTCCCTCCCTCCTTTTCCTACCTGCTTCCCTCCCCTTCAATCCTGTTTGCTTATCTTCTCTACCATCTTCCCCTACATCCATCCTTCCTTCCCTACCTACCTCCCTCTACCTCTCAGATACTTACCTCAGTGGCCCCGACGTCCTTGAGGTAGAAGAAAGTGCCGATAGATACCATGCCCACGCTGGAGCCGATGGCGGAGATAATGAGAAGTGGTTTACGGCCAGTTCTGTCCAGCAATATGGCGCTCACTAACGTCGAGCCGAACCTGCCAATAGTGTTAAAAAAAATCTTCCATCACCTTTTAACACAACTCAGTGATGTTAAATTCATGCATAAAATATAACCTAAGGGATCACGTGAAGATTTGGGTTAGGTTAGGTTAGGATTAGGATGGTTAGTCGTAAGGTGAAATAAATTGGGTTGCTTAATTTTCAGGTGATCCATGAAATTTAATATTATTTCCACCAACACAAAGTAAGAGACAGGAATGTTCCCCCCCCCCTCACCACCACCATCACCTGCCCCAACCTCCTCGTGGTTACCTGTGCTAGAGGACAAGTTCACCTGACGCCTACAGTGTACTTTAAGGAGAGGAACAGGTATGCCATTGACGTGATGGAATGGGCCGGTTCCTTACACATGATAGTGGATCAGGGGTAGCAGACCTCTCTCTCACACACACACACACGACACATCACATATAGCTTACTCACCTGACCAGACCGACGATAACAGTAGCCGTATCTGAGTGGATGTTAGTGTTGGCTTCGTCGAAAATGTCAACAGTGTAGGCGGTGACGACGGCGAACCCGCTGAACTGTCCGCACATGAACACCAAAAACACGATCAGCACCGGCTTCCAGTTCTGCGCCTTCCTGCAGGGGGAAATGACACTAGTTATGAGTCTTGTGTGTGTGTGTGTGTGTGTGTGTGTGTGTGTGTGTGTGCAGGTGTGTGTGTGTGTACGTGTGTGTGTACGTGTGTGTGTGTACGTGTGTGTGTGTATACGTGTGTGTGTGTGTGTGTGTACAGTTCATCACCAGTCTTGTTAGGTGTAAATTCCCGTTTCCTGCTTCCACTTTTATCAACTTATTTCACGCGTCATTTACTTAATTTCTTGAGTCACTTAAGTTATAACTCTTGTTTTGTGTGTGTGTGGTTGTTACTTATGGTGTTGTAGTATGGTGGTGTGGTGTGATGTTGTAGTGTTGTGTTATATTTTTCTAATGTGAAGGTTATAAAACATTTACAGTGTCTCGATAACTTGTGTTATTCTGGTGTTGCTCTCTCTCTCTCGTCCGTCCGTCCGTCCACACATCTTACCGGAAGAGCTTAATCTGCTCCCAAATAGAGATCTCCGCGCCGCCCGTCTCCGTAATATTGGTATAGATCATATCCACTTCAGCTGTCACGTTGTGGGATTTCTGCCTGAAGAACCTGTTGAGAATGTCATTGCCTGTGAGACACATTTAAGAGAGATATAGTGAGAGACAGTCGCTTAACTTAACCATTATACCCAATACACTTATAATCTTTTCTGTGTGTAACTTGAATATGGTTTTTACACCCTATCTTAATCCCCTCCACCCTTCCCCCCATGTAACCTGAACATCCCTCCTACACCCGATTCTACACTCAGACACCTTCATCAGATCCAATATATGATGAGGGAGAATGAGGTGACGGAAAGTATAGGAAGGCCAACCTGAGTGACTTCTCGGCTTGCTGTAACTTGGCCTTTTTGGTGAGCCACTGTGGAGACTCGGGGAACAGCAACATGGAGATGAAGAGCGGGACACCAGGAACCAGCGCTGCCATCCCTGCCAGCCACCGCCAGTCCATCACCGACCTGCAACACAAACGACCAGTGAATTAGTGCTTGGTCAGATAGGCCCTACCTAACCTAACCTAACCACCATCTAGTGTAACCGTGCCACTTCGGTCTACAGCACCTCCTCGTCAGTTGGGTCTGAACTCCTGCTGTAGATCTCCAGTGAATCAGCTGCGTCTTAAGAGGGGGTAACCGTGCAGATTAACGTACAACGTCCTCCTATTCACGACCGAGAATTTGCATTTCCCGTTCTGTGACGTATTTACATAATTCCTAGACCCTTGAAGTTCAGTGCACAAGTTCTCCTTCAATGTTTTTTTAAGGGTAATCACACGACGCATTAAATACTTTCGAAAGTTCAAAAGAATCTTCAAAGTTCAAATGTTAAGTTTTCCCCAAGATCAGTTTACACCGCGGGTAGAGGGAGTATTTAACTAATTAATAATCCCCAACATTGTCTCACCGTAACTTCTGTATTCACGGCCGCCAGGTGTTAAGTCTTCTGTTTTTATTATCAACAAACTGGTCTCTGTTCGGGCAACCTTACATTATGTCATGTCTCAAGATCTTCAACAACGCTTGAAATATTTATAAGAAATTTAAGGTAGTAACACACCAACACATGTCGAAGCTAAATATTTAAGACAATGTAAAATTCAAAGCAGAAGTGAGTTGCTCTTTTGTCCATTGATGAAAAATATTCACCCGCCCATTGATTAAAATATATTCATCGCTTCGTTTAGTTTTAGGTTAGTATAGGATCAGAGTCGAGAGTGTCGCTCATGGGTCCAATACGAGCATCTAAGACCTGGCATTAGAGAATTATAGACAATGTTGTAGAGACTCACCCGAAGGCGTAGCAAAGGGGAGGACCCAGGGCCACAGCTGCCTCGGGGAAGGCTCCCATCAGTCCTCGGATATTCGGCTCCGCTATCTCAGTGGCATAAACCTGTGAATGATCAAGTGTCCTCTCAGCTAACCTCACCATACAGAGACCAACACTCTTCTACAGGTCCTTCACCGTAAACCCATCAGTGAGAAGCCTTTTTTTTTTTTTTACAAATCAAAATTTTCATCTGGTGTCGTCTAACCTTAAGCTGTATACAAGTATCTATTTTTTTAAGTTAAGATTTCCAGTAGTCTCCCCATAACCTATCAAAGAGTAGCTATTTTCTCTTCCATTTTCCCTTACCTGTGGAACTGGGGAAAAATGAGAAGATGCCGGTAATGAAACGACCGACGTAGATCAGAGTGATGGAGTTGGCGAAGGCGATGAAGCACCAGGAGAGGAGGCAGGGCAGTGCTGTCACCAGGAGGGACGTGCGGGGTCCTAGGGTGTCCATCATCACCCCCCCTAACAGCGACCCCATGATGGACGATATGGACGGTAGCGAGGCTGAAAACACGATACACGGCTCTGTTAGTTACACGCACACACACACACACACACACACACGAGGATTAATGTTTCTTATTTCTACTTTCTCTGAATTTGTACTGAAAGCCTTTGTTAAATGTCCTTTGAATATTTGTATATTTCCATCTGTACATAGACACTACAGATATACAAATAATATAACTCACTCCAAAAAAGTATCTTTACGATTTTGTGTGAAACAATATGACACAACGGACGGTTTTTGACAACCCTACCGAGACAACAGGAGTCGCAGTGTTCATTTTGTAATTCATTGATGACCTTCGTATAGATACTTTTTTGGAGCGACACACACTACAGGTATACACACAATATACATAGACACTACCCCATACATCCACCTATCCAGCCAGAGTCACGGGCGTCATCGAAGTTCAGTGATGTATCGTTTCTGAGCTGAGGGAGCGTCAGGAGGGAGTAAGCAGTGATGAACCCAATACTGACTGACGACAGTGACGCCAACATGGCCGCCAGCACCTTAAGGAAGAGACAGTGACAGTGGGGTCGGTAGCAGTGAAATTGTGAGTGTAATAGTGATAGTGCAGCATTGTAACAGTGATCGTCCGAGAGTTTAATGGTGACAGTGTAGCAGTGGAAGTATGACAATGTAAGAGTGACAAAGTAATAGTGTAGTATTGAAAATTTTACCATTAACAGTGATCGCATTACAATGTACCTGACAATGTAACAATGGCATTAACTGACTAACACTCGGGATAAAAAAGACACACCAGGTTATAATATTCCACGTCACAAACTCGGATTAAATGAACAAAACTAAATCCCATTCATAATATCGTGACATAAGCTTTTGGTCTTATAACACTATTTAATCTTATCATATTCAGATTATTTAGTGAAACATCATTACGACTACAGATTTAGATGTAGATTATAGATACAATAATTTATAAGCGTTTTTCATTATCATTAAAAGTGGTGTTATAACCTGGATATGTAATCAGTAAGCAGGGATCATGTGTATAAAGTACCAGCTCATATTACACTACTTACCATGTTGTGAGGTTGTCCAGGAAATTGGTACCTTGACTTAGATATTAATAGTTATATACAATATAAAAAAAACAATCTAAAATCAATTCTCTACAATTGGTAATGTAATCCACTTGTTTACCTTCACGTTACCGGGACTGTTTAAACATTATTACAATCAGTTTATATTCGCCATGTTATTTTTGTTCCTCGACCATTTTTTTTTTCTGTTTTGTTTCGCTTCTATTTCTCTTCTATATAACGAATTTACTTTATTTAAATATTCCTGTATTGTCTGTGTCTATCTTCTAAAAGTATGTGTACACAAGTTTAACAGATCTTAATTACAAAAACACCGAAATGTATTCAAACATCACCATCGTCTTTGACTAGATTAAATTAGACTTTTGTATACTTGAAATCTGGTAATTGCGTTGGGGAGAAATACATGATGACAGTTTTGTATTTTGTGTTGCTTTACGTAGGACTGATCTCGTTACTTAGGACTGATCTCGTTACTTAGGACTGATCTCGTTACGTAGGACTGATCTCGTTACTTAGGACTGATCTCGTTACTTAGGACTGATCTCGTTACTTAGGACTGATCTCGTTACTTAGGACTGATCTCGTTACTGGACTGATCTCGTTACTTAGGACTGATCTCGTTACTTAGGACTGATCTCGTTACTTAGGACTGATCTCGTTACGTAGGACTGATCTCGTTACTTAGGACTGATCTCGTTACTTAGGACTGATCTCGTTACTTAGGACTGATCTCGTTACGTAGGACTGATCTCGTTACTTAGGACTGATCTCGTTACTTAGGACTGATCTCGTTACTTAGGACTGATCTCGTTACGTAGGACTGATCTCGTTACTTAGGACTGATCTCGTTACTTAGGACTGATCTCGTTACTTAGGACTGATCTCGTTACTTAGGACTGATCTCGTTACGTAGGACTGATCTCGTTACGTAGGACTGATCTCGTTACTTAGGACTGATCTCGTTACTTAGGACTGATCTCGTTACGTAGGACTGATCTCGTTACTTAGGACTGATCTCGTTACTTAGGACTGATCTCGTTACGTTAGTTTAAGAGAGGGTTGAGTTATATTAATTACCGTGATTAGATTTAATTAGATGCCCTTCTCTATAGTTATATGGAATTAGATAGAGTTAAGGCTAAGAATGTACGCATTATAAGACACACGTAAGAGTCTAGTGTAGGCCTTAAATTCCTCTTGGGGTCAATAACCTTAGTAGCCGACAGAGAACTATTTATACACTCGTCTGCAGCGAGATGACTGTATAAGTGCGAGGGAGCAAGAGGTCGCTCGCTCTTCACTCACCCAAGCTCAGAGGCATTTGGGTCATGAGTCGCGGTGGTTCGAACGATGTGAATTACTGTTCTCAAATCTATCCTTTGAGAGGCGGGGAAGTTTTTTCATGTTGATCCCGTCCTCTCCCGTTCAGCGAAACAAACACTAGTGGATATTAGTAGCTGTTGGAATTTCTTGGCTTAGTTAGAAGTTTGCATACACACATTCTCGTAAAACCTTAAGTGTATTGTGCCTCCAGTAAAGTTAGTAACATCACCATGCTGTGGGAGGCCATCGAGGGTGGATTCTGTCAAGTTTGTCTCAGTAACTCGTGGTGTCAAGGTTATATGACGTGTTGTGTTTGTATTGAGTCAGAAAATCAAAAGAAAAAAAATTATTACAGATACCATAAAGTGTGGATCTTGGGCATAATAGTATGAGCATAGTTGTCTTGCGTCATACAGGCCTGGAAAGTGATTCTTGTTGCTGCTGTCTGCCTGTCATGGTGACGCTCGTAAACCTGATACGTCCCTCGCCCCACTCTGTCGCCCCTCACTCTGTCGCCCCTCACTCTGTCGCCACCTCACTCTGTCGCCCCTCACTCTGTCGCCCCCCACTCTGTCGCCTGTCCCCACTCTGTCGCCCCTCACTCGCCCCCCACTCCCCACTCTGTCGCCTCCAATCTATCGCCCCTCACTCTGTCGCCTCCACTGTGTCGCCTCCACTGTGTCGCCCTCCACTCCAACCACCCATATCCCACCCACCTGTCATCCACCACCACCCAACTTCACCCCACGTGTCGCCCACCCCAACTACCCATATCCTACCCACGTGCCAGACACCCAACTTCACCCCACGTGTCGCCCACCCCAACTACCCATATCCTACCCACGTGCCATCCACCACCATACACCCCCCTGGCCTTCACTGAGTACCATGATATGCTTGACGTGAATAAAAATCTTCATCTCCGCTGCAATAAATACTATACATGTTGTAAGTTACAGTCCTAACACACACACACACACACACACACAGAGGACCTAGGACCAGTCTGTTGCTACGCACTCTTGCTTTGGGAGGTAATATCAAACTAGTTTTTATTTTATTTTTTTTTTTTTATCTAACGCCTGCTTGTTAATTTAGTCCCCTGAGCTGGATATTACAACTGTTATAGATAAACACACTCTTATTCAGACGTCACTACGCAACACTCATTCTGATTGGACGAGGGAATGCTGTTGGGCCAATGAGAACTTTAGGTACATATGGATCAGATGGGCGTCGCCTCGGACCAGGTAAACACCGGCAGAGGACGTGGGGGTGTGTTGGGGGCACTCACAGGTTTCTAAGAGAGCATTCACGGGTGTCGAAGGACGACACCCACAGGTGATTAGGGGGCGCTCACAGATGTCTAAGAGGGCATTCACGGGTTTCGAAAGAGGGCACTCACAGGTGTCTAGGGGGTATTCACATGTGTCTAAGGGAGCACTCAGAGGTGTCGATCTCACATACTTGAGTCCTTCCCGTCTGTCTGCGGCACCTGTCTTACAAATACATTTATACCCTGATGGTTTCTGGTTATGGCTCCGGCAACTTGGAGAAATAAACTTCTTTCAAATCATTTGGTCAGCAGACCTAACCTAACCTAACTCAACTCAACTAAGAGCTGTGGTTGTTTGTTGTCTTGTGTCGTCCTAAATGGGTGTGTGTGGGAGTTGTGAAGCGATAACTCAAATAGCAATGAGTTTTAACCCAACTTGGTTTGTGGAGAATATCTCACAAGAAGACCCCGAGAAGAATATTGTATAACCTTTTTTTTTTTTTATTGGGCACTCCCCTACATCCTTTTGTAAGGTGAAGCGCAGAAGCGTTTACAGCCGTATAACCTTCTGCCTGTCTGTCTGTCTGTCGTAAGTTCAGAGTTTTGGACCTTGACCTTTATTGTGGTGCTCCAAGGACTTGACGCCTTCAGTGCCAGCCGTGTTATTTTCACTGTTAACTTTTATATTGAACTATTATCACAAAGTACCGTAAATATGTTCTTGGAGGAGGTATTTATCATGATGATCTGAGCTAATATAGAGGACTGTTGCCACCCTTGGCAAGACAGGAAGGAGGATTACGATCAAGTTCTGAAAGTTCGAGTTGCTAACGGCCTGGTGGCTGCATTTGTTGCCTTGTGAATATCAGTCCTGCTTAACTGTCTGATTTACTAATCGACTGACGGAGGAATTCCAATAACCAACCTGTAATGACTCGGTTGTTGTATACTACTGTTTCGTGTTCCTATGCTCTTCTCCCATCTGTGATCGACCATGTCTCTTTATCTCATTTCTCAAAGCAGGTTATTTACTCTTTAAACTATCCCCTGGTCTCCTACGCATATATTTCACCAATCGCAATATGCTCTTGCTCTTTCTCCAAGTTGAAAGCAACTTTTTGTCCCAACGTTTCTTTGCCATATAGCCTCGCCCAAGCTGACGTAGTTCCTCATTCAGATCAAACTTTGCGTCGTAAAATTCTCACAGTATGTCCTCTTTGCTGTACCTTTGAGTTATAATTTTTTACGCTGCTCCTCACACTCAAACTGTGACCCGAAAACATTAATCAGCTGTTGCTGCACCTCAACACTTCTCCAGTCACCACTATTCTTATCATTGAACACTGTTGTATATCCCTCTAAGTGACCGAATATATAAATGATCTTATCCCTCTTCACCACACTCGCGCTCCTTGGGCCTCTGATCTACCTTCCACAGTCACTTCTTAACCTCATGAACCCAAACGGACAGTGAAGCGATACGGGAAGATCTCTGTTAGCTTCAGGAGTGGTCAGAGGAATGGCTGATAAGATTCAACGTCACGAAATGCAAAAGGATGCACTTAGACTGTTCCAGTAATGAGACGTATCGCATGGCCCAACGTGACCAAGAAACATCATTAACTGAGGCCAAACATAAAAACTGAAAAGGATCTGGGTGTGTGTTGAAGACGAACTGGAGCTCTCGGGCCATTGTGAGAAGACGGTGAATCAAGCAACTAAACTATTGTAGGTTTTAAAAGAGAGCTGCTTCCCCGTCTGGAGTACTGTCACCCCGTCTGGTCCCTATGATATGCTAGAGACTGTCAGGTGATTGAAAATGTTCAAAGGAGGGCCACCACTCTGGTACCCTGAGAGATGAGAACGCCTGCAACTGCCTAGCTCATGTTATAGACGGGCAAGGGGTGACTTAATAGAAGCCTATAAGCACCTCAGAGGACATTACTCAGTCGAGCGTCGTTCATACCTGGAACTCGCAGATCCCCGCCCCACTGAAGGATCACATCTTTAGGTTTTATAAGCTTGTTGTTATTTTCTTAAGCTCTGATTGGCCGCATGTCTTCTGGTGAGTTATGCTTGCTGTAGGCTCTCATTTCATCTCTGAATTTACTCAACACTCTTTCAAGACAAATACTTGATATACTTTTAGAAATCGTAAGCATTGTATTTTGTTCTTAAATTTCAAGTAAATTACATTGTCAAATTACGATAAGTCATCCTATAGCGATATAGTACGCAAAGTGGCCGAGAATACTTATCACCCGGTTATTAAGAGAAAACGAATCTTCCATCATTTCCAGGGGGAACTCACTAATGTCCTAACACAACTTGTTCTACATTGACAAATTAATCCAGGGCTTCATACGGACAGAACTCGTTAGGTAGTCTCTCACGATGCCCGATAATAAAATGATTCACGAGAAACCTAATCTAACCTCACCCAGGGGACGTGACGAGACTTGTACGTACGATTAGTCAAGGTGTAACATTACTTAAACACTGAGAACTAAATAAACCGCACGCTCATTGTTTCCATCATATGACTAACTTTTTTCAGACTGATTTTTGTTTTTTGTTTTTTTTTACTGATTTACATTTAAGGAAATTAATGGATGTATGTAACTAACTATATTTGAGTATCGTTTCGCCGTCTTATCAGAACCTAGTGTACTCCTTTTATCTCCCTAGTCCTTCTCTTCTATGTGTATAAACCGCTTTAAGATTACGAAAAAAAATAGTATTACATTGAAGTTAGGCACAAAGACCGTATTGTGGACGTTTTCAAAATAACCAGATAGTGTACAACAACAATGGAACACAGAAATGGTAAAGATTCGACGGATTTTTTGGCAAGTGTAGGGTGTGAGAGTGCAAGCTGGCCTGAGTGTTGTGACAGAGACGCTAAATGTACTTATTAATGTGCTGAGTGAGTGTTTGTAATATCACAACATCATAACCTGCGTATCGTGTTTAAGCTGTTAGTGCCAAAGTAGTGAATAGGCTCGTCACTGTCGCACCATTGACACTCCGGGCAGTGCCACCAACAAGCGACAGTAATGAGGGTTATCAATTCAAACAGAGCTTCACTGTTAATTTGGTAATCTAATTTATGAAAGGGATAACTTAGCTATTTGTGTGTTACAGATTGATCGTGATTATTACAATGATGATGGTGTGTGTGTGTGTGTGTGTGTGTTTTGTGTGTGTGTTTTGTGTTTGTTTGTATGTGTTTGTTTGTATGTTTTGTGTGTTTGTGTGTTTCTGAATGTTGTATTTTTATTAGTTTTATTAATTGTAGATGCATTAGAATGGAATAAACATTTACATACATTTCCCTCAACAACGAAATAACAATAAATAAAAGCCCCACATCTTAGGTACTCAAAAGAGCTAATCACTGAGGTATATATATATAGATCCTTCTTAAAACTACACAACATTAAGTTACATAAAATACTTCACCTCACCTAACTTACACCCAATACAGATAATTAACACTAAAGTTACTGAGATTATTATATGTGTGACCAAGGATTAAACAGAATGGGAATCACTCTCTATACGTAATTACCCGAACTCACAGAACACCGTACACACACACACTCACACATACACTCACCTGCTTGGTAACAGTAAGAGCCTTGTCATAACGCCTTCTCCTGGTTGTTGTTGACTCAGGGAGGTAATAACCTGCCCTCACAACTTGGGGTTTTATGCCGTCAGATAATTGTTTCTCCAGCAGGTCGACACATTCTCCCGCCCGACCAACACTGTTCTCGGCGTGTTCGTTTGGCGCCATAGAGCCGGTCGACGACTAATACCCGCTTAGTTTCCTCAAGAATATACGTTTAACTCTACCTAATGTCTACTTCAGTAAGTTTTAGAGGCTACAATATTGCGCCATGAAAGTGTAAAGTCTTCAGAGAGGACTAATATATTTTATTTTCTACTCTAACACGTTGTAAATCTCCCAGACTGGTGATAAATGTGTTGCGGTTTGCTTGAGCATGATGTAAAGTCAACGAGTTAAAAAGGTGAAAAACCTTGCAGTGAGTAACTGAGCGGCGTGACGAGAAGCAACAGGTGTGTGTGTATGTGCGCGTGTGTGTGTATATTGTGTTGGCGGCCACCTCTGCTGCCCACCGCTACTTGTACTACACTGACTCTGACACTGTCTAGTCTGCTTACCATGCTCACACCAGCCAGCCCCACGCCCCTCCCCCCCTCCTCCTCTTCTTCCCCTTCTTCCTCCTCCCCTTCTTCCTCCTCCCTCTCTTCCTCGACCAGGGTGTCGACGTTGGCACCGCCCCTTGCTACCCACTTGCCATTCACGCCACGCTCACACCACTACCATCAGCACCCTCACCTAACAATTGTCGCCAGCCAGGACGGTGTCGAGGTGTATCGCATCCTGCCCTACAACGAGCCTCTTGTGATGAATACCCAACGCCTTCGTATGTCTCCTCCTCTGAGTTGAAGTCGGGTAAAATGTCTCGTTTCTATCAATCAATCTTTCTGTATTCCCAAACGGCGTAGATGATGATAATGATAAAAATATATGGTGTCAAATTTCCACCTCCATGTATGACCCTTGCTTGGTAAACATCCCGAGATTTTTTTTATTTTTTTTTTTATTTATTTATTTTTTTTTTACATTTATCGTATACATAACAGACTTAACTGACGGTGCGGTATTGGTAAATGTCCTTTTTTTTAATGTGGATATATAGTGTATTCCCTCTAAACTTAACACAAATTAGACGATCAGTGGAGGGCTTCGTCCACTAAAAACTTTCAAACACCCGCCAAAATATTCAAATGTTCCTAAACTTTTCAAATACCTTCTAAAAAAATAAAATTCCCGCCCAAAATATTAAAATCTGTCAGAATTTTCAAATGGTCGCTAAAAGATCAAAACACGGCCATTTTTTTTTAACCTCGCCAATAATATCAGACTAAAGCATCACTCATAAACTTTGTTAAGATGAAATAAACAACATTACGGACAAACACAGCCCTATCACTAAGGCTAATGTGACAATGTACTTAAATCCGTACTTGATTCTGAAAAATACGTACGATAATTTTTCCTCTTTACGATATAACAACATTTGGCTCTACGAATATGACCTGGATACACTGTCTCTCTCTATCTCTCACTGAGGCTTCTTGTTGCCTCACTTATCTCACACTTCTTCCTCACCAGCACGTGTTGCCTGCTCACGTGGACCAAGCCTACAGCTGAGATACCAAGTAGATGACTGTTACCAGGTGAATGACAGTCACGAGATGGATGAATCACGGGATAGATGACAGTCACCAGGTGAATGACATTCAATAGGTAGAGGAGTCACCAGATGGATGACAGTCACCAGATGGATGACAATCACCAGATGGATGACAATCACCAGATGGATGACAGTTACCAGATGGATGGCAGTCACCAGATGGATGGCAGTCACCAGATGGATGGCAGTCACCAGATGGATGACAGTCACCAGATGGATGGCAGTCACCAGATGGATGGCAGTCACCAGATGGATGGCAGTCACCAGATGGATGACAGTCACCAGATGGATGGCAGTCACCAGATGGATGGCAGTCACCAGATGGATGACAATCACCAGATGGATGACAGTCACCAGATGGATGACAATCACCAGATGGATGACAATCACCAGATGGATGACAGTCACCAGATGGATGACAGTCACCAGATGGATGACAGTCACCAGATGGATGACAGTCACCAGACGGATGACAGTCACCAGATGGATGACAGTCACCAGACGGATGACAGTCACCAGGTAACATTATGGGTTGTTCTTTATTTATTTCAACATTAATACTCAAATTCAATCTTTCTTTTCGTGACTAATTCATTACTCTTCTTCTTCCCTTTACTTCTTCACATTAATATCATTTACTTACGTGTACTCATCCATCTATTACTATGGACACAGTATTGTTATTATATCAGTTTATGGAGACATATAAAGAAATGTCTACTTTTCTTAATTTACTCCAACAAAAGACGTGATATGGGGTTATATGTCTTATCCCTATACTCTGTGTACTCTTCCCACGCTAACCTGGCTCATAAGCTCAGCCCCTCGTCTGTAGCTGCAAATAGCTGATTGGTTCCCCTGAGTGCTTTACCTCCCCCGGACTGCGCGTATATGAGCGCGTATTTGTATCGACCTTTTATAATAAATCTTTCAAATTTTCTAACATCCTCTCTGCCTTGATATCATTTACATTTTGATAATCCAGATATTTAACATTATTTTAGATAATAACAAGTCTGCTTACCAATTGTAAACACATTTAGTTTGAATTTTCTATGATTCAATCAGTTATTAGTATAGAAGAGGGGATGGGGTCTATGGGCCAGTAGGGAGCTTCACTACACACGTAGAGAAACATTACACTCACCGCTCCAGTCATACTGTGCTGTCTTCGCCCGACCTTCTCTTCAGCTCAGCCCAAGCCAACCTGGACTCCAGAGCTAACATTTTCTTGGAGCTGTGAGGGGTATCTCCTGTGTGTCCAATCGGAATATTTTTTCCAAAATCTTTGAGTGGTCAGTCACTTCTATGAGGGTGGAGCTATCTTGTGGCACTTAGTGTAGGACATCTGGTGTCCCCTTTGAGAGGGTGACGAATCTTGACGAATTAGAACCTATTCACAGCTGACAGTTTTACACATGAGCTCAAATTTCCTCTTTTTCCCTCCAGGTGTAACCTATGGCTATCGTGGGCGTATAGCAGGCCTTGTGTTGTATGGGTGTGGGCGGTCATCGTTGGCGGTGGGGCGTCCCTTTTATTACAGCGTCATGATCACAGAAATGTAGAATTTCATTTAGAAAACTGGTTAATGATGTCATAATCACTATACTGGAGGGAGGTGTCATGTCATGGGTCGAGGCGAGGCAGGGTGGGGAGGAGCATTGTAAGATGATATAGGGTGAGGTAAGGCGGGGAGAAGCAAGGTTGAGTGGGGGGGGTGGGAAGGTAAGTTACGACAGGATGGATTTGAATGATGGAGGTGAGGTTGGGTTACAGTGGGTGATGCAAGGCGAGGTTGGGTTACAGTGGGGTGGTGCAGACGAGGTTGGGTTACAGTGGGGTGGTGCAGACGAGGTTGGGTTACAGTGGGGTGGTGCAGACGAGGTTGGGTTACAGTGGGGTGGCCCAGACGAGGTTGGGTTACAGTGGGGTTGTGCATCCACCTACCCTAACTTAGCACAATTTACTTATAATAACTTAACCATCTACTTACAATACTTAGCCATCTACTGCCACTAACACAATCCACTTATAATAACTTAAACCATCTACTTATAAAATCAGGGCTAACTTTTACAAGAGAAACACTGCCCAACTTAACAGGACACTTATCGTCTCAAAAACCAGTTATAACCGAGTCCAAGTTCAAATGCTTTCTCAGCTCTCGTCATCACTAAACACGCGTGTGTGTGAGGGTGGGTGAGGGTGTAAGTGTGTGTGTGTGTGTGTGTGTGTGTGTGTGTGTGTGTGTGTGTCAATACTAAGAACAAGATTTCAGATCAATGCATTTAGTATTGTCTATAACGAAATAGAGAGGTGATATAAGACGTCTTGACAATTGAGTGCTGTTGGAACTTTCTGATAACCTGTTTACTATTGTTTCTTTTGCTGCAGGGTCTTTGAGCACCGAGTGAAGGTGGTGGTACAACACAAACCACCCTGGCCAAAGCTCACAGCAGTTTTCTCCCGACGGTGTACTGTACCTGGCTTACAGATATGATTACCAACTGTTTATCTGTAAAATGAGACCTGACACTGTAAGTTCCAGAGTGGTGGTTTGTGAACGCCAGTGAAACACCCGAACATAGGGTCAACAGAGAAGTTCACACCAGAGCAAGATTATACCGCCGGGACCAGGAAGAAGTGGTAAACACACCCCCACCCACCTACACCCCCCACACACACCCACCCACCCACCCACATACCCATCCACGTCCACCCCCACCAACCTACACCCCACCTCCACCTACCCATCCACGTCCACCCCCACCCACCTACACCCCACCCTCCATCTACACCCCACCCTCCACCTACACCCCACCCTCCACCTACACCCCCACCCTCCACCCACACCCACCCCCCACCCACACCCCCCCACACCCCACCCACTCCACCCCACACCCCACCCCCACACCCCACCCCCCACACCCCACCCCCCCACACACACACACTCGCTAGCAATTAATATCAATCCAGACACAAGAAGCTAAGAGAACTGTGAAGAATACTTAAAATACAACAGCGTTTGAAATTCAAGGAAGAAAATACTGAATGACACAGAATAAACAACTGTAGCTTAAGACAAAAACACCAACACGTAAAAAAAAAATAATAATAATAATCAGGAAGTTTGTGAAGAATGAGTTCAACACCGATAATTGCACAGTTGACTTAATAACTCACGAGAGACAAGAGAACAAGTCACAGGTGGCTGAGACAAACCAAGACGAAGTTAATATTTGGGATAAGTTTTTCTCGAGCGTAACCAAGACTGAACCAGATACACACGTCAGTCCTTCCACCACCAGACAGTAGCTACAGCGACCACCAGACGATGTCATCTTTTCAGGAGAAGTTAAAGTGACTTCTCAGATTAAAGTTAGTTTATTCCAGATGAATTATACATCCCAAGGTATTGAAAGATCACCACAGTATTATAAATAGATGGTAAGTTATGGTGCCCCACGTATGAATAGATGAAGATCCGCGTAGACTGTACAAGGCTGCAGTCATCGTCGAGTCACACATACCGACCTTCATGCCACTTTAGGAAGTCAGTGAGTATCGTGTAACCTCAGTGTCCGTGACTTGTCATGTAGCGGCTCTGGGATTCATTCATATGACTGGGTGATCCCATAATCCACGAGGCTCTATGAATTTATTTTCTTGTCTCAGATTTATCGTCGTGTTTGTCTATATATCTACGGTGTTTGTTTTATTTTTTTGGGTGGTCGTAATGCGTGTCAGTAAATCCATGACTCTTTTTAGGATCTGGTCAACTGTTACGGTTCATATATACTGAAGGTTCTGGCCGGATACAGCTCATCATGGATCAACATTAGGGGGGACGTCGACTAGTTTAGGTAAATAGGATAAAAGGCGTCATGATAAGAACCCTGTCAGGAGCCTCCATCACGTTATATCATCCTTATATAACCGTGATGCTGCCTTGTGGGTGTCGAGTGCTCTAGGTGGCCACGCTGCTGTGACTCTGATCTTCCGCGTTACAATTACTAGGAGGGAAAACTGTGTCAGTGAACGAAGATCACAGCGACCGCTGCCAGCCACCAGGGTAATGACACCGCAGATAAAATCAAGTTATCTAGGCCATCATTACCTGTGGTCTTTCCTTGGAACTTTTCACCTTTCCTCTAAACTTTTCACCTTTCCTCTAAACTTTTCACCTTTCCTCTAAACTTTTCACCTTTCCTCTAAACTTTTCACCTTTCCTCTAAACTTTTCACCTTTCCTCTAAACTTTTCACCTTTCCTCTAAACTTTTCACATTTCCTCTAAACTTTTCACCTTTCCTCTAAACTTTTCATCTTTCCTCTAAACTTTTCACTTCTCTAAACTTTTCACTTTTCCTCTAAGCTTTCCACCTTTCCTCTAAACTTTTCACATTTCCTCTAAATTTTTCACCTTTCCTCTAAACTTTCACCTTTCCTCTAAACTTTTCACCTTTCCTCTAAACTTTTCATCTTTCCTCTAAACTTTTCACCTTTCCTCTAAACTTTTCACCTTTCCTCTAAACTTTTCACCTTTCCTCTAAACTTTTCATCTTTCCTCTAAACTTTTCATCTTTCCTCTAAACTTTTCTCCTCTCCTCTAAACTCTTCACTTCTCTAAACTTTTGTATAAGGTTCATAGCGAGAAAAAAAGAAGTCGGCGGTTCAGGGCACTCCCGGTCCACCCAGCTGTAAATAGGTACCTAAATTTACAAGTTGGGGGAAGCGAAGGCATTTGAGTCACGCTGTTTCTTTTTGTGTACCGAAGTCTTAGTATATCGTGTGCTGCATCCACGCTGACTGTCCCTAACACGTTCACAGCTAAAGAGACCCTTCCTTCTGTCACTGATGTGGGGTCAATCAAAGTTTTGTTTACAGAAGTGAGAAAGCTAACTTAACCGAACCTAATTTAATGGTGCCGACATTATCCACAGACTCTTAGAAGTGGTTAAATGCATCCGGCTTTTCGTAATGGTCAATTAATTATTCACATACGTAATAAGCTCTTAAATTACTTATATGTCAGGCAGTGAGACGGCCTTCAGCTAAAGTTCCCTCACCAATGTTTATACCACACCCTCAAAACACATAAATATCAGATGTTATTTATTGATTGCTTACCTTTGTAACTATTGTACTAGGAGGTAATGTGTAGGTTAAGTTATGAGTGAGGGTTTGTAATATATACAGCTCAGACCGTGACTGCCTCCGCTCTGATCGTGTCAAGCGGTGAGGATGTTGGTTAGTAAGAGTTGAATGATGTGCTTTGTCATGTCGTGAGAGAGACTTTGATACATATTGACAAGCGACAGACATAATTACATGTACACCAAAGAAAAACAAGATCAAGGAGCGTGTTTTAATACTTTTAGATAACGAAAGCTGCCTTAATAATATTTCCGAGCTAATTCAAGTCGTTTACCTGAACAGTCTTACCGTTTGTACGATAAATTTTCCGCCCAACTTAGCTACGGCTTAAAGATGGCTGACAACATGGGGTAAAAATGTTACCGAAACTTAGGGATATCACAGATGGCTGTCGTTGTTGGACACACACACACGCACAGGGCAAACAAGTAGGAATGTGTTTACAGAGTGTCCCACACGTTCATCGACCTTCCCACAAAAACACCAGCTTCTACTTGCAGTGTTTTGACTCATGATAACTTTCTGCTCCCTGTTTTCTTCCATCGTGCTGAAAGTTGGGTCGTGTGCTTGCTATCCGCCCTGTTTATATTAGTACGTCAGTTGATTGGTTTGTTTATAAGTGTCCCTAGTCCGTGCTTGCATGCTTGTGTGTCTGTTTATCTGTTCGTGTATCAGTGTCCCCATTCGTCCGTGCTTGTATGGAACAATGTATCCGTCCGTGACTGTGAGATTGGTATACTGTATTCCCAAAAGTGTACTGTGTTACGGCTGTCTGTGTTCAGTTCTCTCCACAACCGCTTATACATAGCTCAGGCGTCACGGCGGACATTAAGTATATAATTGTGTACAGAAGATGATCTAGCATATGATCATGTTTTGTCTATGCAGCTTTATCAAAGGACTCTGTAAACACTAAGATCTGGTGGGACTGTAAACACAAACATCTTAAAGAACTATTTAAACGCTAACATAAAGGAATATTGTAAACACCTTCATTTTAATGGATGTAAACACATACATTAAATGATATTGTAAATGCAGTCATTACAAGGGTCTCTGTAAACACAAATATCAAGGGATTTTGTAAACAGTCATCAATGTAAACACACGAAGCAAAAGTAATAAAAAAAACATTTAATGACGTAAAGAGTTAAAAAGAAAAAAGTACATAAAAATAAATGTAAAACAAACATCTTGAAATTTAATTCATAAAACACGAAAACAAATAAATTAAAAACAACGAAATTAATTCAAGAATAACGCACAAACGGAAAGAAAACGTAACACGATCTCATGCTGA